TATTTTTTATAATTTGCATTTTATATCTAGTACACCTGCTTATGACGGTCTAAATTAATAGCATTACAGGGTATTGAGTCTCCTTTTGAATATATTTTTAGTAGCCGGATTTCTTTCACTTAGTCGCTTAATAACTGCTATATTGTGATACATGAATAAAAGATCAAAATGTTATAAATAAAATTTTCGTCTGCCCTGTGACCCAATAGTGTTCTCGGCTTCCATGCATAGTGGCTACATGTCGCCACGATGCTCAGCCCGCTTTCGAAATCTGTTGGCGGTGCTGAGTATACCTATGTAGAATAAATGGTTTTCAAATAATTCCTTTATAAATTGACGTTGCAGTCCCCTTAGTTTCGTTCAAAAGACGAGTACAAGGCATATGTGAGTTGTTTCACTGGAAGCAGAAGGGGCCTGTCTTGGAGCTTTCGATTTGTTAAACTAAATCCTCGGTTCGCCGTCCCGTTAAACCAATGAATCCGGACAGATTTATTCCGTTATGTGGCGAACATAGTCAGAGCAGGACACAATACTATACCATAATTCACCGAGCACAATGACAAGAAAGCAGGCCGGCTGCAATATTACCTACCTCTTATATCATAACTTTGTCCACTTAATGAGATATCTTGCGATTTGTTTAAATACCCTATCATCCTACATGATAGTGAAGTGGCTGCAGGTGAGTGTTTAATGTATGCAATTGTGACCGAACAGCTGAATCCTCCTTCAAATCACTTATCTTTTTGATCATGGACTGTTGACGCATGTGGTTGCATTACATTGTACGTGTGTTGTGTGCATCCAACGTGTGGTATTTTAAAGTGAAAACCATATCTGAGACTGATCAAGCTTTTTCTTGCTCGGCGTTACTTCTTGTTCTTATCTCATTCTCTCTAATCCTATTCAACAGCCACAAGAAGTTTCTGCTTTATTTTCTACAATCATTCCTTCTATTCAGGGTATTGGTTGTTTTTATGTTGCATTACCTTTCACTTCGTTTGAAGGACCAAGTAGAAGGTATTTGTAAGTTGGCCTCACCGCAAGTCGTAGCGGGGTTGCATTGGAGCTATGACTAGATTTGCGTGACCTCGTCTTGGTTTTATCAACACCCCCAGCGGGACTCCAACAATGATGGTGTAGCGTGTAATCTTGACACATTAACCACTACGTCACATTGCCACGGGTTATCTTGGGTCGTAGGGCAGATGTGACTGTCAAGTAAGGCCAGTCATTCTCCCATAACACATTATGTGGTGGGATGGTTGAAGAAGCAAATTTATATTTGCTATGACAATCGATTGCAATACTTAGTTTTCGTTTTTAAGTAGACCTTCGAGACTAGCATCTAACCCAGGATGAGAACACTTTTTAAAAAGAAAGCTTATGTGAAATTTAATTAAACCATAAGGTCTACTTATATTATTGTGGGATAATTGATATACCAGTCCCCTGATCACCTTAAACAAAATTGGGTGAATACATTTCATCTATAAATGACCTACTGGTAGTCTCGAAAATCTATTTATACACGAAACATGAATAGTTTTACTCCTCTACAGATTCCATAATCTTCCGTCTACTGATATAGCTTATTTATTTTTGTATTTGAAATTGCTCTAAGCGTACTGGGGTTTCTAATGTTCTCATTTTTATTTAGGCTAATAGGACTGGAATTTTCTGTCCATAGATTCTTGGCCGAATGACTACAAAGTCTTTGATTTAAATGAGCTTAGTCTGGTTTACAAACCTTTTGATATCTTTGCTTAACCTGTCTAAATTCAACTTAATGTGATACCTAAATTAGCTAAACTTAGAGACTTATCAGGAATGCTTCTTCACACTTAATATCTTGATCTCATATTGTTTGGCCTTAGACATTTTTTCCGTAATTAAATTTAAGCAAGATATGCTCTCTTGTTTAATACCAAGTCAATTGTTGACTACTTTTTCTTTAACTTCACATGACATCTTTATAAATTTACTTCAAATGGCATTTCCTCTCTCATCGAAGCTCAGAGTCTGGTTCTAGCTAGAATACATTTTTCATAATGCTGCTATTTTAGTTTCATTAGGCTTTACCTCTTGAACCTGGGGTACCACTCGAAAGTATGAACACCAAGATGATGTGGCCTTTTGTGTGGTCGTAGTCTACTTTCATTGAATAGCGGTTGTTTGACCTTGTTCTCGCAACTTGCTCATATTGGTAGGAAGACTTAGGGGAACGCACCTAGTCCGGAGTCCATTTTATGCATAATACTTTCCAAAGTTGGACCCTGGACGTGTTACATTCCCAAATGTTTCGCAGGCATCATCAGTGAGTTTCGCCATTCTTAGCACCATACAATAACTCGTCAAAAGAGACAAATAAGCCTATCCTTTGACCAAACGTGTGCTAAACAGTTGTGGTATCTCCCTTCTTCCCTGGGCTATTCACATTTCCTTTATCCTCCTATCACACCTTCACTCTCACAATTTTTTACCCTGCCTATTTTGCTGTAGTATGGTGTGCTCCTTTGAGTGGCATTCACGAAAACCTTTCACACTCCACACTGTCGTAATCACCCCCTTCACCCCTGTGCTGGGAATGTTGACAAAATTCTGCCATATTGTCACGTAGTCCTCCTTCCCTGAGTCCTATCAGAGTCTCCCTCTTGCCCCGTAGAATCCATCTGCTATCTGCCTGGTACATGTATTACAATCAACCCCTGCTCTCCATCTCTGCTTCTCGAGGCGTAATTCGGCCATCCCCTGCACCTGAGTGATTGATTCGAGGCTAAAGCCTCTAAGTAAGTCTCATGGTCACGCCTTTGCTACATGGACCACGTCTCTGATAAAACTGACAACCAACTAACTCCAGTCCCT